TAAGAAATATAGAGATATTGACTTTGCATTAACAAAAAAAACCTAAGTATGCGTTTGATGGATTACATATACTTGGGAAAATAAATAAAGCTTGAAGTCAAGTCCCCTATAAAACAATAAAATGAGTCTTACAATAATATATTCCCACTTTATGCACTTGAGGACTACAATTGACAGGCATCATCAATATGATAATAATGCACACAGAGTGAACATGTTTAAAATTTTTCACTAACACAAAATATATATACAAGGGAAGATAATGGAATATTGACTGTAAGTACACTCTGCATAAGTTGAAACAGTTTATATGGCATAATCCGAGGCACAATTATTGTTTGAATTTGTTGAACATGAGCGTAACAACTGAGTGTTGCGTTACATTCGGTCGATATGCTGGGCTAGTCACAAAAGTATAAAAATGGCTTAAAAACGTTAGCTAGTTTACCGTAAACGGTGTTTTAAGCAATATAATCTGCAAACGGCTCACCGCAGCAGTTATTATCCAGTTAAACATGCGAAGAAGCATTAATAATTCAGCAACCGGTGAATTTTTGATTCTTTTCGGTCTGGAACCTGAGTAACTGCGAGCCAATCCATACAAAACTGTCGAAAGAGGCATGCAGGAGCAGAATTTTGCCATCGAATGAGTCATCGGGATCTGAAATGCAGCTGTTCTGAAACAGTGCACCAAAGCTGTCTGTAGGCCCTTATGCGACTTGTTCCAACACTCCATGGAATCGGGGAAACTGCCAAAGGAATGGAAAGGAAGCATCCTTTCTCCGATCTCCAAGGGTGGGGATAAGCAAAACCCCACCAGTTATAGACCAGTAGCCCTACTCCCAGTGGTATCAAAAGTACTGGAAAGTAATATTGACGATCACATCAGGGAATATCTCGATAGCTCTAAAATACTCCATGAAGCCCAACACGGTTTCAGGAAAGGCAGATCCTGCGTCGCTAACTTATTATCAGCTTGGGACGACTGAACATCATGCTGGGATATGAATGTTCCAGTCCATGTGATCTTCCTAGACTTTGAGAATGCATTTGACACTGTTCACCATGACCTTCTCCTACACAAAATAAGCCACTTCTGTCATGGTTGAAGGACTACCTAGCTGAGAGGCAATTTTGCACCAAGGTCAATCGAGTCCGATCATCTTGGCACAGCTCGTCATCAGGAGTGTCGCAGGGTTCTATCCTAGGACAACTGACGTTTTTGATTTTTATCAATGATCTACCATGCCGTCTAAGCTGCCCGACTCTTCTATACGCTGATGACGTGAAGATATGGAGGGTGATAAAGTGTCCGGAGGACTCAGACAGACTGCAGGAAGATCTAAACCTTCTGGAAGACTGGGCGGTGGCCAGTGTCATGACTTTCAACCTGAAAAGTGCAAAGTAGTGAAGTTACGCACCTGTAGACTGCAGAATGCAAGTTACACCCTGTGCAATGAAAGCTTGTCCTGCTCAACGTTGGAAAGTGACTTAGGTCTAGTTCTAACAGAGAAAATGGACACAAGCGTAAATTACACGGGGGATGCAGCGAGGGCATATGCGGTCATACACTTTACACATAGACAATTGGGTGCACTCACTCCTGAGCTCTTTCTAAGGTTGTGTAAAACATACGTCAGACCACATGTTGAAGTGCATAATATCATTGCACCCGCACTGCTTAGAAGAGATGCCAACCTCTTGGAAAAGTCCAACGACGGGCAACAAAAGGAGTGGTTGGTCTCCGAAATAAACCTAATGATGAAAGGCTGAAGAAATTAGGCCTATTCACACTTAGTTACCGTCGTCTTAGGATGGATTTAATTACTGCCTACAAAATAACAAGTGACCAGAATCACCCAAACAAAGGTGTTCTGCCATTGAGTAAGTATAGGCTTCCTCGTGGAAATCCTAGAAGGATAGCTCATCAGAGGGCAAGGGCCCGGGGGCGCTCCCACTTCTTTTCCCTGTGGGTTTGCCGTCCCTGGAATTCCTTACCGGCAGATGTAGCTATGGCACCGTCTGTGGACGCATTTAAGCGAAGGCTGGACAACCATGCAGCGACACGAGGACTGCATCCAAATGGCCTATCCCCTTAAAATCGCATACACCATTCACGGGTAGACAATTAAACTTGTCGTTTTACCTCTTCACATTCCCTTCCGTCTTACTCTCTTGACAGATTTAACTATACCTATTATTATTATTATTATTACCAGTATATATATATTATTCATGTTACTCTTCAAATGTAATCAGCTGACTGTTGTTACGTTTTCTTATTCCTTTTCTGTCTGTTAGTCTGAATAACTTCACTAATTATATCTATTATTATTATTATCATTATCTCTTTTCTATTGACGACGATACCGAAGGACCAACTGGTGAAAGGATCAACTCCATTCACAGTAGTAACAAACAAACACATATAATTAATCCCTGCACTACTCCTTTTGGAGTCAACCAAAGCTACGACAGTCGAGTGGAGGGACGAGCTACGCAGAAGTTTATCGAAGATCAGGAAACTATACCTCATAATCAAGAGGCGAGCACAAAGAAATCAAATTGGTTTATACTAGCTCGTAAAAACGATATTGGATATTGGAACCCGATGATTTATTAGTTTATAATAACCTTCAGGAAAAGCATCATGGTGGGTGGCAACGATCCTTAAAGTGTACTCCAATGCATCAGATGACTGTTCCTGTGATTATGAGCACAAATTGCAGGTCATTATCGAACAAGATTAATTACTTGGATGATTTATTATATTCAAATATTTACCGTAATACAGGTGTAATAACACTTCAAGAAACTTGCCTCCACGATTCATGTGATGACAATTTAATCTACCTGAATGGTTTCAATATGTACAGACAGGACCGAAGTAGTTCAAGGAAGAAGCGAGGTGGTAGTGTTGCTACTTTTATCAATTCTTGGTAGTCTGTTGCCAACAACGTCTGCTTTAAATTCTAAAATGATAATATTTACTGTATAACTGTCAAATATCGACCTAAACACCTGTCTAAGTACAAATTCATTTATGTTACGAACATTTATGTCACACTTTGTTGTAGCACTTCAGAACTATCTATGCTTGCTGATGAATTCACTATTTTCGCTGCCACCTCTTTCGGAAACTCATTGTCCATAGTGACAGGTGATTTTAATTCCTGTGACTGCAGCTTTCTTACAGTGCTAGGTCATGAAAATGTCGTTAACTTTCCCACCAGACTGGATACTTCTTTTGATCTGGTATTTATAAATGACTGCAGAATATACAAAGCTCGTGAAAGAGCCCTACTGTTTAACTTAGATCTTATTGCTATTGCCTCTTCTTTTCTAAAAACTATAGAAAAGTTACTCTTACTTAATATTCAACCTTCACTTAAAGCCTTTAACGATCCCAAACAATTCGCCTGTAAACAAAGTAGAAGTACTTTAGATGCAGTTGTAGTCTTGTATCATAACATTGTCTCCAGCTTAGACAAGGGGGCTAAATTTGTTCGCTGCACCTTCCTAGATTACACATCTGCTTTCGACTCAGTACCTAGGGACATTTTTTTAAACATGCTTGCTGAAACTAAAACTGACTGTTGGGTTGTTAAATGGCTGCATTCTTATTTCTCAGGAAGAATGCAGTACACTGTATGTCAGGGAAAGTCGTCCACTCAAGGCGCTATCCTTTCTCCTTTTCTGTTTTCTTTCTTCTTGCATGACTTGCCTCACTCTGATGAAATGAACTTTGTTAAGTATGCCGATGATCTAACTATTTCAGCTTTCTATGAGGAATTAGCAAATGGTCTTCGTCTAACGGCCTTAAACTAAGTCCTTCCAAATGTCAGACTGTTAATTTCAGCTTCCGATGTAAGCGAAAGTTAAATGAAGCCCCTGGTTCCTATGACACTAGCTAAATTGATGATACTGATATGGAAATCAAGTCTGAAGTTAAGCATCTTGGATTAATTCTTTCTTCTGACCTATCCTGGTCTTCCTATATCTTAGAAATTTCTAAAAGAATATTTCGTCTGACTTTTTGCATTGAAAAGTTAAGGCACTCAGACATAACCCAACCCTCCTCCTGTTACAGTTTGTCAACTCGTGCATCTTACCTATTCTTCTTTACTGCTCACCCTTGCTTATTCTTTCCTGGATTGCTTAAAATAGACCATGTCATACTTCGTAGAACTGTGAAGACTGTCCGTCAGTAGGGCGAGAGGTATCCCATTGGGTCATATCGTTGACATTGTCATTGATAGGCACTTGATATCATGCAACAAATTATCTAAAGGAATTTTGTTAGACTGTGAGCATCCACTCTACCCGCAGCTCCAACACTGTGTCTCCTCAGGTAAAACAAGAAGTCTTTTCAGAAGACTTTATGCACGCACGTATAAATATAAAAATTCCAATATACCATATTTAGCACGTACTTTATGTGATGAAAATAGTGTTAGGCATGAACTAACTGACCTTCTTTGCACTAGTAAGTAAACCATTTTCTCTATCTTTATTCCATCAAGCTTTATTGTTATTGTTCTTCTTATATTTATAATCCTCTCAGTTTTTTGTTTATTTTTTTCATAAGTATGAACATCATTTAAGCTGTGTTATAACTGTTAATTTTGTATATCTCCTCACCATACTACATCAGCAGAACATTAGATTCAATAATCTATAACATGCTAAAATTTCCAAACTGAATCGACAATACCGTTTGAAACAAACTCACTGTTATTATTATTTATTATTATTATTATTGTTATTATTATTATTATATTTAATACTCTCAATTCATGCTTCGAATATTTTTGACTTTATATCGTAAACGTGGACAAATTCCTCTGGTTTTAATTTTTAATTTTATTTATATTTTAAGTAAATCAGATGCAATGTTGTGACAAATGCTGAGAATTTCATTCTGCATTATAAGTACTGTTTTTGGAATAAAGTAGATTATTATTATTATATTGTAAATATTTCGTCTTTTGCATTGCAAGGGTAATGACAATGCCGTCATCATACAAGTACACAATAATTCCGACTGGGAAGCTGTCACCAAGTCAATCACATCATCTGGTTACAGAGTGATCAATTCAGCGTGTTGGTCGAAAGTTGTTAGGAATTTAGATGATGCATGGAAGATGCTGAACGATTGTGATCCTGCTGCATTTGGAGGTGATTTTGATGTTATTTTTGAATAAGTTATAAATTCCGCAACAAATTAATGATGAAGAGTGGATGGCTGTTCCCGTCTGTTCTCTGGAAGAAACTTTGACAAGTCTCAATGCAGTGGGAGGTGTGGTTTGTGGCTGCATAATGTTTCGGTATTCAGACTTGTAACGAAGTAGATGTTAGTCTTTGCAATTAGTTGTGTTCTCTAAGCTGGTTGGTTTAATTGTGGAGCTTTCGTCGTCCTTCTGGACAATATAACCTTTCAGCTCAAGTTTTATCACAAGTATATATAAAATCAACGCTGAAACACAGACCAAATACTCAACTACAGTAGTAATAAACCAATAACCCACAAAAAATAAACTATGTGCAGATATCGTTTTTAAAAGAGTTTAAACACACTGTAGCACTGCTACTGCGTTTTTTGAAGAGAATGGAAGAAAAATACCTTCTAAAGGTCTTGAAAAAGAATGAATATCCCCACAACTTTATTAAAATGTGTTTAAAATCGAGTCACAACACCAACAAGAAACCACCGTCAGAGACTACAAGAAGATTCATCCTACCATGTATAAAAATTATCTGTGAAATAAGAGCTAGAATAATGAAACCGTTTGAAATAGATATAACACACAAGTCAGCCAGCCAGCACAATCACTTCATTGGATATTGTGCAAACCGAAAGTCTCATCCCACAGGAAAAGAAGATAAAATTAATTCCATTTACAAAATAAATTGCATATAATAACTGTAATAACAAACTGTAACAGACGCTACATAGGTCAAATTGGGCGTCCCCTTCGAATCATAATCCAAGAACACAAATAAGCTGTGAAAAGACATGATATATATTCCTGTTTCGTATCAATGCATGTGGATAAGTGTGGACATCAATTTGATGATTGGGATAATGTCGAAATTTTAAACAGAGGAAACACCAAAAATACTGCCAGAGAATTCCTAGAAGCCTGGTACTCAAACGAATCAGCCAGCGATTAACAAACATATTAATATAGATCAAATTTACCAAATTATAAAAAGCGAATCACTTGATGAGAAAGTTCAAAATCCATGTCAATAAAAATGATCAATACAGAAGTTGACTACCAGTCACGAAGATGGTTACCAGGAGACACAATTCTATCATTCATGGGTAATTTAAATCAGTTCCTCTTATGCTAAAACTTGTGCTGAAAGGGGATGTTGTCCAGAAGGTGGATGACGAAAGCTCCACAATTAAACCAACCAGCTCAGAGAACACAACTAATTGCAAATCATCCATATGAGCTACAAATCTTCTCTATTATTTCAAGATGTTAAGCTTCCATTACACACTTGACCCTTGTCAACTATGGACGGAAGAAATTGTTACTACAATAATTTCTGTACATATGACTGAGGCAATTCAGGCGATATTCCAGAGTGATGATTAACATGTGGAATAAATAATAATTCAGACACCACTATATTGACTGACCTTCCTCATGAGATATCATGGAATTCATTCACCCAGGATATCTGGATTAGGTCAGAATGGAGATGTGTGAAATGTACAGGTGTCTGAACACCAACAGCATTCCACATGCTCACAGCAAAATATTTCAAGAAATATTTACAATCATTGTGCTAAAGTGTCTTCGTTACATTTTTGCAGTAACACTGATGAATTACTGTTTTCTTTGCATCGTGAACAGGTACTGATGAAGAAGCTCAGTTGGTTATTGGTGGGGAGGTCATCATTTGGGGAACTTATGTGGATGACACCAATCTCTTCTTACGATCATGGTAAGCAATTGACAATCGATATTGTAATCGATTGGCAAAACGGATTTTCAAGTATCAAGGTTGACTGTAAATTGAATTCACGTTGAATTTCAAATCACAGTTCAAAATAATTGTTCTACGAGATTGTATATTCTAAATGGTTTCCTATGAAAATCTGTGGTTTCTGTGACACTGCTGCATTACACAAACGAGGGACATAATACAGTGGATGTTGTACCGCATTATACACTGATAGAATGAATTCAGTAACTGTCTTTCTGAAGGTAATTTCCGAATATGCAAATCATGTCGAAAATGTCTGGGAAACGTGTCTAGATGGGTAGATGCACTTCTTTTGTTGTTTCCTGATCAGGTATTTATCGGACACAAATATCTCTGGTACCTTGAAAAAAACGTGGGGTGAATACTGTCAAAATAGACAGCAATAATTTGAATAGCTGAACATAGCTGAATATGATGGAAATGGCGGACTGTGAACAGATTTCACCTGGAACTGATTCGAAACTCGCTAAACTCTGTATTTATTCATCACATGGTATACACGCAAACAACAAAAGTGAAGAAATGACATTCATTTGATATTTCCATAGAGTAACGATAGATTTATGTAGCTTGAGATAGAGCCCATCAAACTAACAGCACAGTATTGTAACGACAGATGACAGGGATCAGGCAACAGATCGTTTATTGAGAAAATCAAGAGATATTTGTAGATTTTTTTGTACATTATTGTCAGTGGAGATGCACTGTCTTCTGATTGGTTGTTTTCTTGCTGAAGGTTATTCTCTACTGCCCATGATGGTTTCTTAGAAAGTTAAGTCATATATCTGCGAATTGCATCTGAACTCTTTAAGTCCGCTGTGATTGGTTGGTGAATTCCCTATGACCGTGACTCGGGACGTAACATTGTTGTCTACAATTTTGGCTTGCAGACAGCTTTCACCACCGTATAACCACATATATTTGTTTTAGTGAGAACATCATAGGGGGTTTATACAGATGACTAATAAAGTGGGTTTCAGATGTCGTGTTATGTAGTTAAGAATTTCACACTGGCTTAATTCCATGATGTTGGATGGTTTTTAACAGCAAGTAAGAGAGACTGTTTAATTAGTTGATATAGAATAAATCCCCATTTAAACATTTAGAAGGTGAAAGCACTGTGCGAAGAAATATTTACTTTTCAATTAGATCCTCATCTCACTCTGACACTACTCTAATATACATGTATAGCATTTTTATCACAATACACAACAATTTACAATCAAGTGGCACTGATGTGTTTGCTGACAATAATTAGTCAGTGTCAACATGTCAGGGAGGGGGAAGATTGATACACACAATTAAAAGGTAGAAATGGTTGCAACATATGAATTGAATAATGCATAATTTTGGAAAAATGAAGAGTAAATAAGGAATAAGCGTGTGCACAGACTGATAACGTAACAGATTGTTAAAGGAAATAAAACGATTTGGACAATGATAACTTGTAACTAAAGATGAGGTAGTTAGAAAATTAATAGTATTATTTGGACAGGTATAATATTTAAAGGTTTAACGGGAGGCGGGGGAAGTAGTTCGGCTTATACATTCATGTAGTGATGGCCAAGGTAAGGAAAGTGTCTTTACAAATCTATTCTAAACACAGAGGTTTGGCTTCTTCAGGTGGATTCGTATCTCTTCAGCTATTGTATGTAGAAGACGAAGTCGTAAAGCGAAATTAAGATTAGTCAGAATGATATAGGTAACTTAAAATGCTGTATCAACATCCACCTTATGCTCACTATCTACAAGGTGTGCTAAAACAGAACTAGCTACGTAGAGATCTTGTTTGTCCCTTGCTTAATCATGCTGCAGAAAGATGTTCCGAAATACGATGATGACGTTAATACAGCACAGAAAATTATTTATCGCGTTCCTACTACCCTTCACCATCATTATATGAATGTATAAACCGGACTAATTCGCCCCCTCCCACTAAACCTTTGAAGATCATAATTGTCGAAATTATTTTATTTTTCGTTAATTTACTATTACGTAATCAACTTGAACACTCGCTTATTCCTTAATTACTTTTCAGTTTTCCAAAATTATGCATTATTCAATTCATGTGTTGCAACCATTCCTACCTTTTAATTGTGTGTGTATTAATTTTCTTCGTTAATTATCACCTGTCACCTTGACATGTTGACACTGACTAATTAGTATTAGCAAACATATCAGTGCCACTTGATTGTAAATTGTTGTGTATTGTGATAAAAATGCTAAACATGTATATTAGAGTAGTGTCAGAGTGAGATGAGGATCTAATTGAAAAGTAAATATTTCTTCGCTCAATCCTTCTGTTTTCTAATTAGTTGATGTCAATTTTGCAATTAGCATTAATGAATTCGTGATTTTCAGTTTAACCCCTTCGTGGTAAAGTTGTACTAAAATTTCCCTCAGAAAGTTAAATTATTCAGACAACACTCTGTGAGCTGCCTGATATTATTAATCGAAATCAAGACAGTTAACATAAGTGCAGGGTGTTTTCCAGTTCGACACAACTCATATTAACCAGTTTTGGTTGTTAAACGGATGGAAATGATTTAAGCGGTGGAAGGCTCGTTTGCTCCTTGGGAGATGAAAGCCTCAGGGATGGGTCAGTTCGACTGAGTGCACAGTATTCAGCCAGTTCAGTTGAAGTGACTGGTAGCCAAATACTCAGGTCACTGAATCACTAGTATATAGAAAAATGTTGTGCCTCTGGAGAATCCACAGTCAGGTGTTTCTGTAACCTCGAGATAACATATTGCCAATAATTGCTTCAGGCAGTTTTTAGTTCATTGATTGCAGCATTGCAAAAGCCAACGCTTCAAGCCACCAGAACATACTTCACTCTGCTTGAGAAGGAAATCAGTCTGCCTATATGACTCGATTATCACAGAATTATCCAGCAACAAGGTGAGCCACTCAATCAGCACGAGGTTAGAGCATACACATACGCTGATTTATCATACACAGAATCGAGCGTTTCACATACATATACATCCAACTATTCTATCGCTGACATGTATTATAAAACGACATTTCATTTCACTTTCATATCAACGGGGTAATTATGTTGACAACATGTCAAGGCCAATAACTGCTGTGGCTTCTGAACGTCTTTGGTCTATGGATCCAGGCGATTTTCATGATTTTTCATTTAGAATGAAAGAGTTTCACTGTCGAATGTTACTGTAAGTCACGAGTATTTGTTTAAAATTTATGAAGTCAGTTAACACTGTAGAGATTCACGGAAATCAAACCGGATAATAATAGGAAGTTGAATGAGATATTAAGTTGCTTTAGGATTATGTTCATAACTGTAATTGACAACTGGGTGCATAATTTAGTATGTCGTTAGTTTTCTGAAACATTTCATCCGCCTTTCGGGTTGACAATTTCACTGAAATGGAGATTCAAAGTGACTGTAGATTCGTGGCGCATCACATGTGACTATCGTTTGATTGAGTAACCGAGTGAAGTAAATCGATTTGTATGAAATCGGGAGTAGTCGTGGACATGACTGCTAGATGAAATCTAGTCCCACATTAATGTGCAGTTGGTATATTTCAATAATGCAAGGGCATGGCAAACCTGCCCTCTCGATTCAACTGTATCCGTCATCCGGTAATCAAGGTGTTTCTAAAACTTATGAAAAGAATTACGTCATCGTTGAATCACTTCTTATGTTAGCAGAGGCTGAATAATTCGGTCCTACAAAATAGTCAATATGGAATTGAATTTTAGGGTGTCATTAGTGCTTCGGCAACCTAATAATGCATATCCATCCTGTTGGCTAAGAGTGTGTCACGTACCTCAAGTTATTAAGGACATAATCCACAGGTGAATCCGCGAATATCAAGTGAGATTCGGTTGTTCCAAAACTGCTCGGTATCTTACTTAGAAGTGAACCAGTCACATACACACGGAGATAAACTGTCCACACGCACTCACCTGTCAGTTGACAGTGAATATATGTGTGAAACTTGGACACTGTGCTAGTATGTAATTCCATATTAATTTTTTTAGATATAATAGAGAAGATTTGTAGCTCAGGTGGATGATTTTGGTGTGGTTGTGTTCTCTGAGCTGGATGGTTTGGTTGCGAAGCTTTCATTGCTCTACTGAGCAACATCTTCAGCGCATACTTCGATGTGAAGTGAGCTGTTAGAATTCTCTATGAGTTTGTTAGTCATCTCTTCTAGTAACCTTGAACGTGATTGGTTGTTTTCGTGTGACATCTACCCCCAGCTCAACCAACCAAATCAAAGGCCACCAGCGAAAACACAAAGAAAGTCGTCCTACCATATATAAAAGATATCTCCGAAATCACTGCAAGACTATTCAAACCTTTTGGAATCGGTGTCGCTCATAAACCAACAAAGTCACTACACTCAGTTCTATGTAAACCAAAGGACTCAACGGCAAAAGAAGACAAAACTAACGTCATCTACAAGATAAGTTGCAACGACTGCGACAAACATTACATTGGTCAAAGTGGACGCCCTCTTCGTCTTCGCATTCACGAACACAAACTAGCTGTCAAAAGACACGACATACACTCCCTCATATCACTACATGCAGACAACCACGGGCACCAATTCGACTGGGACAATGTTCAAATCTTAGACAAAGGGAACTGCAAAAATGCCAGAGAATTCCTAGAGGCCTGGTATTCAAATGAATCAGCAATCAATAGACACATAGAGATTGACAAAATATACCAATCCATACGAAGAAATTCACACAAAAACAAAGTCAAACTTCAGGTCAAGGGAACAGTCAACACCAAAACAAGTGAACTAGAAAGTGAGAAGTCACACAAAAACAACCAATCACGTTCAAGGTTACTAGAAGAGATGACTAACAAACTCATAGAGAATTCTAACAGCTCACTTCACATCGAAGTATGCGCTGAAGATGTTGCTCAGTAGAGCAATGAAAGCTTCGCAACCAAACCATCCAGCTCAGAGAACACAACCACACCAAAATTAATTTTTTTATTAGATATGTCACACACGGTGTGAAACAGTATTATTCACTAGATGACAAAGTTTCGGAGATTATTTATTATTTAATTGAATTTCGGATATTCCCGTCGATTGATTGAATCGAAGTGCTCGGTCTCAGGCTGACGTGTCGGCTTCTTGTGCAGTTGACGAGTCTCAAATAGGACGAAATGGGCATCTTGGATTCCACTGCTAGTCACCATCCACCAGTTAAATAATCTATTATTTTTCATAATCATATCAATTATCATGACTAATATGATTATGAATAATAATAATTATGTTCGAAAATTTGTCATTGCGTAAATAATACTGTTTCCTTGTTTGATGTATCAAATAAACAAATGCATAGGTTGATAGTGGTTGACGATTGGAAATCGAATTCGGCAGTGAATCAAATTCGAAATTCACAGACTAATATTCTATTTAATATTCACCTATTCTGAAGTTAGATTTCACCGGAGCTTCTTTATTATTATTATTATTATTCCCTTGGGTTCTGAGTGGAACACTGGGCTTCAACAACACATATCCACTTCGTCCTATTCCCTGCCGTCCTCTTCAGATGGGTCAAAGAATGAACATAGTCTCTCGTCTCCTCCTCCTCGCCACACAATCTCCTCCATGTCACCCTTGCACTGACGACCCACTCCATGTTCTCGTACATATTTTTTGAGCAATTGGTTCTTGGTTGGTTCACTGCCAGCCAGAGTTTCTGGTTGCTAATTCTTTCTGTATGGCCTACTGTGCATCTGATCTTCAGTATGGCGCCATAGAAGACAGCTAATGATAAAATTCTGGAACTTGTTGGAAATCGTTTCCGCGAAGTGCAGTACGACTTCCTGACTAGTATAGAAGAACTGCTTGAATTCACATTTATGTTGGATGAGTGTAGAAGATTTCCAGACCGGTTCAAGGTTGATGAAGGAGCATCTTTCCATTCCAAATCTGGCTTTGACATCTTCAGCTTCTTTGAAGCTGGAAATTATTCATGATCACAAAAGGGACCTGTTTGGTGGTGCCATTAATCGTAATCTACATGGTAAGCATATTTGCATGATGCTGTATGCATCAGGTCCAATCAGCCAGTGGTGTTTGGTAGCCAGGCCAAGGTGATGCAAAATCCCGATGGTCATTTCACTTATTTATTGCTGGACACATCACCAGTCTTTCCAATTTGAATCTGTGTAAAGATATTTCCCTTATATTCGTGACAAGTGATTCGTGACATATTACGTTTTCATATTAGTATTCACGTGGAATGTTGGCCTACAAAGAGGGTTGTCTCTATTCTATTCGCTGTCCTAGATTCTTAAATTTGTGAATGTTGATATCTGCTTACTCGTTAATACTAGATAGAACACCTAACATAGTCATAGTTTGTGGATAAGTGAGATTCATTCTGTTTAAAACTGCCGTACATGTCCGATTATGGCGATACTAAAGACGATTCCGATCATAATTATTAAAGTGCATCTACGTTTTCACGTTATACACGATGTGCTTACGTTGTACACGGTCACAGATGAACAACGTTTTATTAAGAAATACAAGTGAAAATCTGAAAAGATGTATTCTTAACGAGATCGAATTTCGAAAAACGCGGAATCGAACAAATAGTGTATAACCGCCTAAGAAATACATCTGTGACAATTTTTGATTTTTTGATTTTTTTCCTTCACGTTCCCCCAGTGGAACATAGGGCTTCAAGCTTGTGGCTTGAAGTTTCTGTAGCTGTGTTTATTTTACAGGATGGGGTTGCTAGCCTCATGTCCAACCATTCCTCTTCACCAGCATTATTTCTGGCTTAGCAAGGTAAAGGAGTGCATCGGCCGGGGATTGAACCCCAGACCATGTGCATGGTCGGCGAGCGTATTAACCGCTATGCCACCGAAGCATATCTGTGAAAAAGTAAAACAATATTCAATGATACAATGTCAGACGTTCCACAAGCATATGTCAAATCACTTTCTGTGGGCGTATAACATGCGTACATGAATTAGTTTCATGAGAACCATTTACACATTTGTGTGCAAGATGTCACGATATATTCCATTTGATAATTTATCCTGGAACCAGTTCATATCAGTCTCCCCTAATCTCCTTCTTCTTCTTGTCATTTCTAGATTGAATTGGAAAATGAGACCTTTTACAGGACCTGGATTCTGTAGAAATTGACGATACTCCTTCACATAAATGACAAGGCGAATGACAACTGACATACATATTCAGCTGAAGACACCTGATAAATCATTTGATTGCTAATGTGTGTGTAGACGACAGTTATGTTATTATATGTTTCTTCAGATGTTTGGTATTTTCTATTAACAGGCTGTGAATAGACTGCAAAGATATTAGTTCGTTGATTCCAAATGACTGATCCATAAGAAGAGTCTTCTTTTACAAATTTTAAAGAACGTGTATAATCGATACACATATTATTTGAGTTATGAAGTACGCAATTTCAGTTTTGCGCCTAATCCCAATATTTTCATTTGCACTGAAGAGATTAGTCGAAGATACGAATACACTGTGCAAGTGTTGACTATATCCCGAATAAGTATGACGGGAAGTATTCGTCGGTGTGCGTCGGTGGCACAGCGGTTATGCCGCTGGCCCGACCATTCACATGGTCTGGGGTTCGATCCTCGGCCGACGCACCTCTATACCTCGCTAAGCCAGTATCAAGACTGGTAGAGAGGGAAGGTTGAGCATGAGGCTAGCAACCCCATCCTGTAAAAATACACACTGCTACTGAAACTTCAAGACTCTAGCTTGAAGCCCTGTGTTCTACTGGGAACGTGAAGGAAAAAACCCATCGACTTCATATTGATTATTGAATGCATTCGTACACAAATCAAGGTGTTCTGAATTCAATTATCAATGCATTCAGCACAACATTCAAATTTGGGGGAACAGCGTGTGGCCTTTGTAATAGAAAAATGAAATTTTAGGGAAGTGAAATGATTAAGTCTGCTTGATTTATTCTCTATCAATCGTTAAATCAGAGTTGAAACGTTGACTTCAGTATACATTCACAAGTTAGAGGAACTTGCTTTGAATCTCGTTGCTTTATTGTATTTCTCACCTCGTGACTGACTGTCTACAGGGCGATCAGTATATATGAAATCACGAATTTCACAGGGATTAAATTTTACTGGAACAAAATCATACAAATCATGGAGGATTCTCTCTTGAGTTCAGTCACTTTCAGAACAACAAAGAATACTTGCAGGTTATGATGTCATCCTCTGCCATGAGGGATGAACACCGATAGGTTTTAAGCAGCTGTACGTACATTTCTAATGAAAATTGTCAGGAGATATGCAATCTGTGAAATATTTTCAAGAAATCCCTGTTGGGTATTTTCCTTTGCCCTATTATATAGAAGTGGATATTACGGAGATCATAGACACTTGATGAATTTTCAATAGATATCTACTATTTGTTCACTTATTTGCTCTGAATGAAAATTAGTCGGAACTCTTGTATCATAAGGTGTGTTTGAATCAATAGGAATCAGTCATCCAATTGTAATCAGTTTACCCCGATACTGAAGTGAGTCTCTGTGTTAATGCAGTTTATTGATGAACATCGGACACTTCTACAAAACAGTCGAAAGACGTAATTAATCCGAAATATCGCCTAGTTTTCTGATTCAAACTGTCGCCTAGAAAGTTAACAATCTATTTCGGTTACCCAAATGACTATCAGGAGAACACCAGGGGGATGACCGTCATAATATCAACAACAGCAGCCGAGGCTCTAATGCTTTAATGGGGAGCATTCTCCTCTTGCAGGATTATGACAGCAAGATTCAACTCAAAAGGAAGAGAGGAAGGTTACAATAATCGAATGCTACGCTCATATAAACAGCGCGGAACAAGAGAAGAAAGAAGATTTCTACAGACACCTGCAAAGAGTAATCGATAACATCTCAAATGGAGACATCAAAATCCTAATAGGTGATATGACCGTTGATCTGGCAGTAAACAAGAGGACTCAAGATTGGTGAGGAGGTTCTGGCAAAATGAACAAGAACGGCACAGATTTCTGTGTCTACAATGATTTGTTGATTGGAGGTAGCGTTCGTTTACAAACAGAAGCATATACACAAGGAGGCATTGGTTTCAACTGATAGACACGCCAAGAATTCGATAGACCACATTTATTATCATTATTTTAAATTCATTAAAGTGAAGACGTAGCCTGTTTGACACAAAATTAAGGAGAAGGGCAGCTGTAGGCCCAAACGATTATATAGGAAATGGAACCTTCAGCGTCAAGCTGAAATCATCTGAAGTAGGTGGACATAAATCATAATTTATGATTTGCACCCAAAAACTAAAGGACGAAACTACAAAAGATATCTTGTAGAGGACTTAATAGAGAGATCAGTGAAGGAATAAATATTAAAATAAAAATCCAAGTTAGTGAAACAATATTGTAACAGTCTATTATAAAAAAATATGGTTAAAGAGTTATAGAAATTAGTGGTTACTTGGTGATACTGTCAAAGTCTGCTCCTACAAATTAATAATGTAATCCACAGAAGCATTCAATGCTGGAGTTGTGTCTAACAGTAGAAGCTCTTTACTGAATGTGGAATAATCTTCGGATGAAGATAAGGGATTCCTGAAAAATCCGAATGATACAACACGGTTAGTAGACGGCAAGTAGCGATATGGACCAGTGAGAAGACGAGGTGTTGAGCAGCACACTGTATTTTAGATTGCATTCCGAAGTTATGCATATTTTACAATAAATAGTTTTGAAAAAAGTTGTGTACAATGTTTATATTTTCAATATCTAACGAAAATCTGTACAATAATATTGTTCGAGACTCCTCAATATTCACTGCATCCACCAGAGAAAAGTTGATGATATTAAGCAACATCAGCAAGGAAACCTCTATGAGATAGAACTGGAACTCTCCGGAACTGATGCTGAAGGAAACCTGAGTAGGCGCATGCCCCCTGGTTGGTTGGTTTTCTTTCTGATATGAATCGATTCAAGCTTTCGGCGTTCGCCAGGGGTCATTTTTGGCAAAGTTAGCCTGAAATAACCTCCTGTCACTTCTGACTCTGACGTTGCACCGGTTTATGAGTTCCAGGTATGCGTAGTCGTCGGTCTGACACTTGGATACTCACCTCGTTGGCCAAGGATTCCACTTTGCTTGCAGAAAACACTGCGTACCTCTCTTCAGCCATAGGGATAAGTTTGGCACAAATCAAGCCAGTGAAGGATGACAATGGGAAGTCAATCACCAAACAGGTGGAGTAAAGGAAACACTGAGCTGAAGACTTCAAAAGAGTAAGGAGGGAGATCAGGGTCTTCAACTCTGATATCAAATCAGTGCTTCTACGTAGTTTAGAGACTTGGGGCGGGCATCACGGAACTCAATTCCAATAGGAGAATTAAAGGATTTATCCTCTATTCTCTCCAATTCTACTGCTGTGAATGCATGGACTCATTTTCTTGATGAATCCATTAAGAATAATGATATGTATTCAGATATTACGCATGTTTATGGTGAGATTAGATTGAAGTAGCCTGGATATTACACTCACACAACACTATTGGCCATGTATACGTATAATATGCTTGCACTTATACGGATCCTGTTAAATATGCCTTCCGTCTCACGTCACAGTCTGTTCTGGCCTAAGTAGGGCGGACTAGGGGAAACACGTAGCAGTGGTCTTATTTTGTCAAGCGGGACGTCAAGTGGTTTCGGCGATCAGCGCGTCTAAGTCCAGCATTGACGTCCCTACTCTATGGCGAAAAATAAACAATAAATTCTAAAATGGCTATGAAAGATGTTTTTGACAAATTTATGCCCATCTAAACACAAAATCTCTCAAAAGCCACAATGAACCATACTGACCCGATCAGTTCATGGATCTCGGGAGTAGACAGAAACATTTCAAAAATCCCCGCCACGTGATACTGGCTCCGAACTCACCGGCTATCATATTTCAAGGGTTCAGTTACTATGGTAAACGCAGAACTCACACAGTTTATGAATTCTGAAATATTCAAAAGCCTCAGATCCATCAAATCTTGTGAGAAAATTCGAGACAATCGCCAGAGATGAGTTCAATCATACGTCTATTTAAGTAGTGACAGTTGCAGGCAATTGTGTTTTTAAAACAGAAATGTATCCCGGTTTTGTTAGACATAAATCAAACATGAAAAACGCCATCCTGACTGCAGTTAGGAAGTTGCATTGAGTGATTTTTTCTTTTCATGGAGGTTGTATTATGGGTATATTTTGTTTTGATAAAGTCTCACAGTGTTATACAGTAATGTTTACTGATGACGTTTCAAGCACAATTTATTGCTACTAATAATCATATCAAGGTAATCACACGACTTCCTAAATTCATTTATATAGTTCCATTGTTTTTCACTTGATTTGATTGGTAGTAATATTTTCCATATTTCGGGTATGAGTGATGAATCATTCCTATTGCATGTGTTGGGTGTAGATTCGATGAACAAGGATTCAGTAATCAACCTCTCTCTCCACCTACCTAGATTACTTTTTAGAATTTTAACCCTCTCCCACCCTATTGTGTGGTTGTGTGCTAATGCATGCATTGCGACTGCTGAGCTTTTTTCTAAATTACATATCTTCTCTGGGTCAACCATTCTTACCTTAGCTAGTAGGTCAGGGGTAGTCAGATTGTCAGAACATAAGAATTTAGCTAAGGTAAGAATGGTTGACCCCGAGAAGATAAGTAATTTAGAAAAAAGCTCGGCAATTGCAATGCATGCATTAACACACAACCACACAATAGGGTGGGAGAGGGTTAAAATTCTAAAAAGTAATCTAGGTAGGTGGAGAGAGAGGTTGATTACTGAATCCTTGTTCATCGAATCTACACCCAACACATGCAATAGGAATGATTCATCACTCATACCCGAAATATGGAAAATATTACTACCAATCAAATCAAGTGAAAAACAATGGAACTATATAAATGAATTTAGGAAGTCGTGTGATTACCTTGATATGATTATTAGTAGCAATAAATTGTGCTTGAAACGTCATCAGTAAACATTACCGTATAACACTGTGAGACTTTATCAAAACAAAATTTACCCATAATGGAATTACACTCTACCACAGTGCACAAGTTTTATTCTTATATCAATTGTCTGATATTGGGCTAGTGGTCACGCTATACCGTGAATTTGCAGAAAAAGGAAATGATGCACTGACCATTGAATGTAATCACAGTCGCTGAATAATCTATGAACTTTCGTTTTC